GAAACACATTTCAGGGCCTTGAACCAAACAACTGGACAGGAAGTGGGGGTCTGATTTGAGCTGATGGGAAGGACAAACCACGGGGCTGAAACAGCAACAAACAGCTGCAGAGAGGAGGTTCCCCTTCGACAAAATCTGATTGGCTGTTTCTTTCATCTATTCCTATGTCCTGTATCGCTCTTGACCTTAAGGACGAGCACAATAAAAGTGTGCTTTACAAACTCTCCTTCTGCTTCCTGTCGTGGATTCATAAAGTGGATTTAAGAAAAAGGAATACGTCAAAAGAGAAGGAGCCTTCTGTCAGTGGATCAACCCTCTTTCAGAGTGTTTATCAGGGCTGATAGTGCTGACTCCATGTGAACCGCTCACTGACTCTCGGGTTGCTGTGAGTGGTTTTGGTCTGGTGTTCACAGACAGCTGATGTTCTGTTTCAGGGGTTCAGTCTCCTGCAATGGGTCCTTACTGTTTGACTGATGTACTCTATACTCTGACACTCTAAGATCTCTGCTAGTACACTCTAAAGACAACATCCCCAGTTACCTCTTTTCCACCAACAAGGTTTCAGACTTTGTTTGTAGACAATGCCCAATTGTGAACCTTTTATTTAAAGGTGCTTGTATTTTTTGCCGTGTTTAATGGAAGAATGAGTACACACATTGAAATATGTTGTTGAGTTAATTTCTCAAAAGTTAATTGCTGTTTGTATTTGAATCCACAGTAAGCAGCAACTAAATACAAGGATTTTGGAACTGTTTAATTTCTGTGGTTACGCTCCATAAATGTCAACACTTTATACAAAACTTGTTTTTAAACCGTGTACGTAAATCAATGATACTGAGTCTGGAAATAGTGTGCAGTGAGGCGGTCATTAATAATACAAATAAATACACCCCAAGATTTCATTAAGTTCTGCCTATCTACACATTAGGCTTCTTACACCGCGACTTACTAAATAAAACCAATGACTCTCAATATTAATTGAAAATGATTTAATTGACTTAATAATCATCATTTTGCTTCCGGAGGACTGTACTTGGGCGACAGTTAATTACTACCCGGGCTCTGGTTGTGGGAAAGCAAACGGGTGCTTAAGTGGTTCACAAGTCGAACCAACTGCAAACCAAATTAGCCCTTAAACTAAAACGAAACTCATTTCAGTGAATAAAGCCGTAAGAGAGCAAGACTGGAGGGTAGAACACTAAGAGAGGACAAGGGGGGAGAAGGGATTCAATGGATACAAGGAGAGAGGAGGCTTCAGATGAGCGATGAGTAAGGAGTCATCAAAGGAGATGAGGAAACAGGAGGTAGAATATTTTCCCCATTACAAACACACAAAAAACTCTTTCTGTCACAGAGAAGATAAAGTGAGGAGAAACAGGATGAAGGCTTAGACATCTGCTGGGGAGGAATTTATTCCATAAATCACTGTCATTATAGCCTGAATCAGAAAGAGAGAGGGCTTTGGAGGGGAAGCCCAGACAAGCCCGGGCATGATATCTTAAAGGCCCCTACACACCAATCTGACACCAAAGAACACGTCCCGACGGACCCGACTGTTGTGTCGCCTCACGTCTCCTTGGCCATGTTTCGCACTGGAACACACCGCAAAGACTTCAGCCGACGGCCAAGTAGCACGTACGAACTGCGCATGTGTGAGTGGCAATAACTCTCCTTACCAGCAGGCGGCGGTAGTGTGTATTCGTCATTCAAAAGTGGCAACAACCGGAAGACACACTGCGTGATAACCGAGAGAAGAAGAACAGACTGTGTGATATCAACATGTTGAATCGGTGGCGGAAGGTGTCGGCACGGCCGAAAAGACACGACGGGGCGGGACACACCAATCTGAGTAGGGCGACAGGACGCTCATCGACGGCCAGACATCTATCGACATCTATCGACGGCCGAAATCGGCTTGGTGTGTAAGGACCTTTAGGGAGAGAGCAGGCCAGAAAATAGAGACTGATTCAAAGAGTAGAGAGGAAAGATCGAAAACCTCTTCTAAACCATGACGATGAAGTTTGGACCGTGTATCGATGCAGCCATGGCTATAAAATAAATTTACAGGTGAGGTGGGGATGCAGCAGAAAAATGTGGGGGGTAGAGAGAAATGTAGAAGAGATGAAGCAAAGAGATGTGGAGAGAGGAGGGAAGATAAGAATGCTTTCCCAGAGAGGAGGAGATGCGAGAGATATGAACAGGGAGATAATCTACGGGGTGAACAATGCTGGACTTTATTCAGTTCATGGCGATAAACAACACATTAGATTACGGCTTTCATGGCTGACTGAGAAGATTAAGAACAGGCAACAGAAGGATCTGCACACCAACAAGCTCCAGTCCTGGTGCTGCTCAGGTGTGTGAACGAGCCCAAATGCAAAGCCGCAATGTATGTTAGGTGTGCGCTGTGTTTCTGTCAATCCCAACAGCATTGAATTGCCGATGTTTTCATGCAGGTGTAAACAGATGTTCTCTATCAAAATAAAAAGACAACCTTGTAGTCAACTTAGTAGTTAATAGATTCATCCAATCAACCGACCATAATGTGTTCATTTATCAAAAATGTATTTCTGTCTGTTTGAATTCACAGTCTGGCAGAAATAAGCAGCTCCTAAATACAAGAAAAACTGCCTGTATTCCGTTTAAAATCTCCTAATATGTTAACCCTTTACACAAAACATGTCTTAACCACAAAACCAAAAACATGTTATATCTGTTAATGAATGAAATACTGAGTCTACATGAAGCCTTTTAACGGTACTTTGGAATGGATAAAGTAAAGATACAATTCAGAATGGCCAATGGAGGCATGTTGCAGGGTTTCCTCTTTCTAACTGTGGGTTGTATTGGAAGGAAACCTAGATGAAAATAAAGTTGGTTTGAAGTGTCTGTGTGTGTTGGAAAGGGCAAAGCCATTGTGATGATTTCCAAGCAGCGATGTGTATGTTTCACTAATTGCTACAGCCTGTGTGTGACGTCTGTGCTCACACCAGTGTGAGTTATGACTCTGGGAACAAATGATGTGAGTTTGAGGAAATTCTGGAGAACTGCACATGTGACATTCACATCCATTCAGAGCCATTATTATTTGTTAGACATACATATTCTTATCTCATCTTCATTTGATGTTCTATTTGATCCAGAACCTATACTTTTTACTCTGAGATGTGCGTGTATTTGACTAAATAATTATAACACAATATGTTCTGCTCCTGAACTATTCAACATGAGTTCAATCTTGACCAACTGCTTCTGTCTTTTTGTTTGTTTGCTTTCCGCAATTGTTCTGTGTTGCTTTCTTTCTTCCACTATCAGAATTGTCTTTTCCTCTGTATATTTCTCTAAGAGCAGAGAAAGGGAGAAGAGGAAAGGGCCCCAGGGCCACGTTTTTGTTTTCAAGCTTTCCATGGAAAACAAATGAAGCGAGTAAAGCATTAAATAGAGCAAAACAACCACTCCACAGTGAACGCCCATTCCTGCATGTTTATTACAACGTGAACAGTGATGACAGCGGGGATGTTCTGAGGAAATTGTTGACAAAGCTCAGCCTGAAGCCCCACTCTGAACGATATGTAGAAATGTGGGACTCCTCCTCGAGCTACAGATTCCAAGAGTAAATGATTGGAGTTTATATCCAGGCAGGGTGTGACTGGGAACTCTAATCAAGCTGATCTTACAGCTGCATGATTTCACCTCAGACAATTGGCCAAAACATTTAAACTTCATACTTTAAACGGCCCTTTTATGCTTTTTGGGGGGGTTTCCCTTTCCTGTAGGTTATATAGGTATAAAATCACTGTGTTTATTGTTCTCTTTTAAAAAAAAAAAAAAATACAAAAAACAACCAGGTGTCTTATAGGGCATCAATCAATCCAACTGACATATTACAACAACAAAAACATCTGAATTGTTCAATCATCAAATAAAAAACTGTAATTTTATATGGGACACTGAGAGCATTCTAAGTGGAATACATTCAGATTACACTGCCTCGTATTACTGTTGGGTTTGACATATACAGTATATAACTATCTTTAGAATGTCCATCTCACCTGCCAATGCAAACGATAATCTGTCCATTAAAACATATAAACTAATGAATAGGGACATTTTGTTTGCTAATGTCTTGGTTTCATTGCTTGATAAAGAGATGTTCAAAGAAATACGTTTTTGTAAATGTGTTGCTGAGACACAGAAACGTTGACATGTTATCAGAGGAAGCAGGAGGTGGACTAAAAATAGCTGTAAACCCCTGTTACGATGTCAGACAAGCAGCCAACACAAAGACACGCAACATGTGACTGGGTGCATGGATAACTTCTGAATGAGGGCCAACAAAATCAAAATAGGAAAAATAATGTGTGTGTGTGTGTGTGTGTGTGTGTGTGTGTGTGTGTGTGTGTGTGTGTGTGTGTGTGTGTGTGTGTGTGTGTGTGTGTGTGTGTGTGTTAAGAGGCTCAATACAACAGGAAACAACTACAGCGGGTGTAGCTGCCAAGCTCATCTGATAACCTTGACTTGTCTTCCTACACCGACATGAAAACAGAAAGATGCTCCCTGTCATAATTTGTTAAACAGACCTTTGTACACACACACACACACACACACACACACACACACACACACACACACACACACACACACACACACACACACACACAAATTGTTTTCAGTACACTGATACACTTAAATGAAAGTGTATGTTTACAAGTGTTTTGCTATCCCAAGCTTTTAAAGGATCTTTCAGAGTTTCCAGGCACCAAAAAAGGTGCAGTGTGTAAGATATTAATATATATATATATATATATATATATATCAGTTTCAATTCAAAACATCTATATACTGTAGTGCTCTTTACCGTACAAACTTCAGGATGTTGGCACCAGAGGCCAGAAACAGCATCCTGAGTTCTGTTGGTGTTTAAGTTTAGCCAAGGTTAGGGAAATATTGTGTTGTTCCTGCAAACGCAACTGTTGAAGGACTTTCAAATAACATCCTACCTTTCAGATTCTTCTTCCCCTGTTTCCATGGATGCATGAGTGTGGTCTCAGCAGGACTTCCAAACTCAGATGAGAACCCACCATTGCTCTGGGCTGGGGGGGGCTGGGTCACAGCTGCCGGGGTGGTGTCAGTAGTGACGTTCTGGGAGAAGGATGCGATCCTCTGTAGGATTGAACCAACACTATCTCTGGCATCACCTGGGCCCTCCTCCACAGACCAAACGGCTCTGGGGCGGGATGGGCTGGAAGGGTTGGGCACATTGGGAGCCACCTGGACAACCTGGGGTTGTAAGAGAATCTCCAGCTTGGGGCTGTAGCCTGGAGAAAGCGGCACCGGGGAACCTATCTCTGGAGTAGGAATGAAACCCTCGGAAAAGGTTTGAGAACGTGGTGTGAGAGGCAAAAAGGGATGGTGGAGGGACGGGGTGTCAGAATAACTGTCCAGGCTGCTCAGAGAGGCAGAGGGACTGGCCGGGGTGGATGGGGGGCTGGTGTAATGTTGGAGGCTCCCTGTGCTCCTTGGTGGAGGCTTGGGGGGGTTTGGGCTCATATATCCTCCTGGAGACTTAGTGTAAGTAGTTGTTGAGGAGCTGTTAACCAAGCTGTCCAGATCCAAGGGAAACTTGTTGAGACGTGAAGCCTCCTTGGACTTGGGCTGGGGGGACCTCAGGACCTGGGGCCCTTGCTGCTGGTAGGGACTTTTTGGACCACAGTAGACCTCTTCCCCAAAGGAACTGGCATTATGAAGTCGGCCATTCCAGTTGGCATTGGCATACCTCAACCCTGGAGACACCATGCCTCCACCTACGCTTCTTTGCATACTCACCAGTCCTCCTCCTCCATCACAAATTTGGAGGTTGAGGCTTGGCATGGAGCCATGGCTCCCCCCCTGAGGATCTGGAGCTCCCAGCATCATCCTTGGCCCCTGGTCCATCTGGTGGAAGACACCTCCATGGGAGGGAAAGTTCTTCAGGTTGGGGTGGCTTCCCAAGTTGACACCTCCGTCACGGTGCTGTTGTGCGAGCTGGGTTCGGAGGTACTCCCCATGAGGCGGGGGGCTGTGATATGACCCTGGTTTAGTAAGAGGAAGGGCACCTCCACCAACCCCAGAGTACTCCAGGCTGGAGGTGGAGCTGTGAAGGCTGTCATTGTCACTGCCAGGCCCGGACAGAATGGAGTACCCGTTGGGGTTCAACCTGCTCTGAAAGGATGCAGCTCTAGTCACGGAGGAGCCGTTGTTGTGGATGGCCGGCTTGTTTGTGGTTCCTCGGTTGAAGGACATACTGTTGACTACACTACGGGACTTGAGCACCGGGCTGGGACTGGAACTCAGGCTGATGCGGGAGTGGTGTGCTGTGGAGCCCAGGCTGTTGTTGTTGTTGTTGTTGAAGGCCAATGAAGGGGACTGCCCCCCTCCTCCACGCCCCTCACTGGCCTTGTTGTGGTGGAGGAAGAAGTGAGAGGAAGATGGAGACACAGGGTTGGAGATGGGAGAAGCTGGGGAGAAGGATGGTATGTCATCCACATCTTCAATGTCGAAGGATCTCTTTAGCGCTGCAGGGGGGAAGAAAGAAAATGAGTTGTTAATAACAAGATAATGTACTGTATCCGACCAGAGCAAGTAGACAAGTGATGGACATCTAAAATGCTTCATCCTCCATCATATTTTAACATCTTCAGAGTTTCCTGTTTCAGCCTTTGTTTAAAAAAAGGTGTGATGAAGACTGCCATCAAATGTACCAAATGGTAGCAAATAACCTCAGGTGGAGTATGTAGGAGAGAAACTCCCTGTGGAGGGAACACTGGGATTTTAGCCTTTGCAGACCATTGACATGCACAAACACCTATATAACACACTACAGGAGAGGGGAAACCCCGAAAGCATAAAAGGCTCCTTCAGTGGATCTGCCCTAATCCTAGAATCTTTGCAGCCTGTCCTCCTACAAAAAACGACCATATAGGCCGATTGTTCATGCCCTTATTACGACCCAGAGACACGTTTTAAAGTATATGTTATTTCTTACACGACCACTAGAGGTGCTCTAGTGGTCGTGTAAGAAACAACATGCTCCCGGCCCGTTCATTGCAAACGCTCCGGAGGGACGTTTATTCACAAATAACCCTCTCTGGAAAATCCTAAATTGTGGAATAGTTAGGCCATTAAAATGCTTTTTGATTCGATTTCTGGCAAGAAGTGTATATTGTACTTTTAGAATCCACGTCCAGTGGATGTGTAGGATCTATAGTTTGATAGATATTACGAAGATGATCTGAGGTCTCGCCAGGATAACGTGTATGCAGCTTCCATGTAAAGTTAGCGTGGGTGAAAACAGTTTTTCCGGTCTCGAAATGTTCATAATAAAACCGGATATATTCCCCTCACTGTCAAATGATTACACAGTGATATCTGCATTACTCATCCACTAAAAAACATCAGTTTATCCTTGTTAATTACACAATATTGATTGGTTTAAATTGTGTACAATGCTTTTGTGTTTTTAACCTTCGATCCAGAGAAACAACGTTTTTTAGGAGTTTAGACACTACAGTTTCCGAAGACACTACACTACCCAGAATCCCCAGCTATCGTTTGGGACTACAACATCCGCCTTGCTTTACAAACCCCGTGATTAGTCATCAAGCCCTGTGATTGGATGTTGGAGTGGCAGTGCGACAAGGTTACGCTGAGCGTCAACAGCTCTTGAAATGGAATGGAACCACGGCTGACTTTCCCCCCAGAACTACACATGCTGGTTATTGTGTGTTTCACAACATGTTCTATGGCACGTTTCTTTATAAGACGTTTTCGTATTTCCCACAATTAGAAGTCGCCAGTATTAAACTGTGTACACCCTGGAGGTTTAGGGGATATGAAACACAGTGGTGTTATCAAATGTAAAACATATAATTAATAAATGGGTGAAATAATATACTCACATGACACCTAAGGTCAGAAGAGCTTTATTTAACAGCTGGTCTTATGTCTGTGACCCCTCCTGTTGTTCATTGATAAGCCTGAAACATGCTCAAGGTTCAGAGGCACATTTTGCAAATATGGCAGTAGCCATCGATCATCTTAAGATAAGATATACTTTATTGATCCCAAGTTGGGAAATGTTTTTGTTACAGCAGCATACTACTTTGTTCTACTCCACTACAATTCAGAGGTTAACCTGGTATTTTTACTCCACTACATGTATTTTAGTTACTTTGCAGATTCTGATTAATGATGTGAAATATAAACAACCCTTAAATCAGACTTTAGTTACACCTGAGTCAAATTCAGGGAAGGTGATTGACAAGTGCCAAAAATAAACTATGAAATATATTGGACGTTAAGTACTTTATCAGACTTAATGTTTATCTGTGGATAACCCCAACGTTTTTTTCTTGTTCAAAAGAAGACCTTAACTTAAAGTATTCTTTAATGTTTAAATAAAGCCTTATTAGTTTGTCTGTTTTGCACATCCTCCTGTTAATATCTTTGGACGTCCTGCACTAGCTGTTTTAATGTAGAGATCACTACAGTATCTTCTTGATCTTTTCTATTCTATATTTCTATCATGCCTTCTACTTTCCCCCAATTGTGTATGTAGGCTACTCTTAATATTTAAATGTTTTCATAAAATAAAAACGTATTCAACAACAAAATGCAATAACGTGCTTTAACCACTAGGCGGTGCGGGTTAAAAAAACAGTGGTGTAGTTAATAAAACATAATAATATCAAACATAATATGACTATTAACTTTATTGTGAAACTAAAACAGAACGGTAAAGGAAAATACAGTTTCAGTGTCTCGATTTGAAGCTTATGCATTGTACCATGAACCTGTATAGACCTGTAACAGTTGGAGGAGTTGGAAAGGTAGTAAATAATATCTTTAAAAGCTACAAAAGAATCCCTTTCTATCAGCTGTGCATCGTTATGGTGTAAATATAACCTATCTACCAATTGGATCAAATATAAAAGTCAGCTGAATTAGTGTTGATACTGCAAGGAGACGTATTGTGTGAAAATAAATGGAAGATGTTGTTTAATTGCTAATATATTTATGATCCACGTCACGTATTCAGTTTTGGCGGCATCTCTTCCAGTTTGTCAAAAGGTCTTCTGATCAGGGCTCTATAAATAAATATCTACAGCAGATATGTAATATTTAATGCAGCCGAACCGTGTATTACAATGCCGTTATGTGATGACTTCCAAAGAGAAAGGCAAGATCACTCGGAATAAAGTATTATTTATTTGAAAAAAATGTTTTTCCGATTTCATATCCCATAAACACCATATCCCAACATGCATTGCGGCTAAAACAATCGATGTTTTAGCCTATCAAAACCTCTGTATAAAGAAGGTGTCTCTCAGAATCGAAAGAGAAAAACCTATGGGAAAAACACAAAAGCATTGTACACAATTTAAACCAATTAATGTCGTATAATTAACTAGGATAAACTGATGTTTTTTAGTGGATGAGTACTGCAGATATCACTGTTAAATCATTTGATCATTGGTTTTATTATGAAAACCTCGAGACCGGAAATACTGTTTTCAACCCGTAACTTTACATGGAGGCTGCCGCATACCTCAAATCGTCTTTGTAATATCTATCAAACTATAGATCCTACATATCGACTGGACGTGGATTCTAAAAGTACAATATATACTTCTCGCTAGAAATCTAATCATAAAGCGTTTTAATGGCCAAACTATTCAACAATTTAGGATTTTACAGAGAGGGTTATTTGTGGATAAACGACCATCTGTAACGTGTGCATTCAACGGGAGCACTAGAGGCCGACAACTTTAAAACGTAATTATAGGTCGTATTAAGCGCTTGAACAAACGACATATTTGGTCGTAATAAGGGCTTGAACAATCGGCCTATTTGGCCGTATGAGTTGGAGGACTTGTTAAATCTTTGATTACCTGCAAGCAATCTCCATGTGCAGCAGTGTGACCTTTCAACATGGTCACAATACATTTTGTGCCCAAAATGTCTGATCCGTCTATTTTCTTTTAAATACAACTCTTTCATCAACATGACAATTAAGCTGACAAAATGATAAACCATCATAAATAAAATGAAACTTTCGGCTTGTATGCGCTGCCAGCTGCTATACTTCATTAACAACCATTAGATCTAAAGTGTCAAACATTCATGACAGTTATAAGATAAGATGGTACTTTATTGATCTCAATTTGGGAAATAAACAAGAAAAGAAAATAGAAAATATACATGTTGAATTTGACAAGATATTATATATACAAATATATATATACATAAATATATGACATGGAATATTAATATAAAATATAAAATATTGAACAGATTATATATGTGTAAAATGTACAGCGAGGTTTTATTCCAAGAGAAACTATGGAGCAGAGAGTTCTCTTCCAGCCAGAGGTGATTGATTGTACAGTGTTATTGCAGCGGGCAGGAATGTGTTCTTGTATCGGTCCTTGTGACAGCGGAGCTGCAGCAGTCTGTTGGAGAAGGAGCTCCGTTGACTGTCCAGCTGCAGGTGGAGAGGATGGGTGGGGTTATCCATCATGGACAACAGCCTGTTCAGTGTCCTCCTCTCCACCACAGCTTCAAAGGGGTCCAGCTTGATGCCGATGACAGACCCAGCTTTCCTGATCAGTTTATTGATCCTGCTGGTGTCACCGGCTCTGATGCTGCCCCCCCCAGCAGACCGCAGCAAAGAAGAGTGCACTGGCCACAACAGACTGGTAGAAGATCTCCAGCATCTTGCTGCACACGTGGAAGGATCTCAGCTTCCTCAGAAAATAGAGTCTGCTCATCCCCTTCTTGTACACAGCGTCAGTGTTGATCCTCCAGTTCAGCCCATTGTCTAAGTGAGTTGTATTGAAAGTCAGAGGTGTATAAGGTGAACAGGACAGGAGACAGCACAGTCCCCTATGGGGCTCCTATACTACCAACCATCACATCAGACAGCACACTGCCCAGCCGGACGTACTGTGGTCTGTCTGTAGGGTAGTTGGTAATCCAGGAAATGGTGGACGAGTCTACCCTCATAGCCTGCAGCTTGTCACTCAGTAGCCGAGGATGGATCGTGTTGAATGAGCTGGAAAAATCAAAAAAGGTGATTCTCACAGTGCAACCCGATCCATCCAGGTATGAGTGAGCATGCTGCAGCAGGTAAATAATGGCATCGTCCACCCCCAGGTGAGACTGGTAGGCAAATTGCAGAGGGTCTAGAAATAATCTCACCTGCAGTCTGAGATGGGCCAAGACCAGTCTCTCCAGCACCTTCATCACATGAGATGTGAGTTTAATACTAGTTGAACATTACATTTTTATATTTGTATGTGTTTTTTATTTATTTATTTTTTATATGTTTCTAGTTATTGTGCTTTTTATTTTGTTTTTAATTCTCCCATTGTGTAATTCAATATTGTATTTACTGCCTGTACAGCACTTTGGTCAACTGAAGGTTGTTTTAAATGTGCTATATAAATAAATAAAGATTGAGATTGAGATTGAGTGCTACTGGTCGATAGTCATTGAGCCCAGAAAGAGTCGTCTT